GACTTGCCCCTCAGCTCCTTCAGCTTATGATCAACCACAACTACTGACAACTTCTCAAACGTCAGATTCTCCTTCACCCGCACATCATCCAGCTCCACCACATGACTAGGGTCATGAATATACTTCCTCAGCTGGGATACATGAAATACATCGTGTAGGTTTGAAAGAGACGGTGGCAAGGCCAACCGATAACCAACCGGACCTACACGCTATATGATCTGATAGGGACCGACAAACCTCGGTGTCAACTTCCTTGCCTTCAGCGCTCTACCCACACCAGAAGTCGGGGTCACCTTCAGAAACACATGTTCCCCTTCAACAAACTCCAAAGGCTTGCACCTTTTATCAGCATAGGATTTCTGCCTACTTTGAGCAGTCTTCATCTTCTCCTGAATCATCTTCACTTTCTCAGTAGTCTGTAGGATCAGCTCCGGTCCCACAACCACTGATTCACCATCCTGATACCAGCATAGAGGAGTCCTACATCTTCTACCATACAAGGCTTCAAACGCGCCATCCCAATACTAGCATGAAAGCTATTATTGTACGTGAACTCAACCAGCAGTAGGACCTCCTCCTAGCTTCCCAAGTGGTCTAACACACAAGCCCTCAACAAATCCTCCAAGGAGTGGATTGTCCTCTCTGATTGACCATCCATCTACGGATGATAAGCAGAACTCAGCTTCAACTTAGTGCCTAAGGCTTGATGTAGACTCTACCAAAATCTGGAAGTGAACCTCAGATCTCTGTCTAAAATAATACTAGAAGGCACCCCGTGCAACCGTACTATTTCCCTCACATACAACTGCGTCAGCTTCTCCAAGGATCACTTGATGTTGACAGGCAAGAAATGCACACACTTGGTCAACCGACCAACAATCACCCAGATAGCATCACTATTCCTAGCTGACCTAGGCAACCCGACAACAAAGTCCATAGTGATACTATCCCACTTCCATTCCGGAATCTCCATCTGCTGCATCAACCCACTCGGCTTTTGATGCTCAACCTTTGCCTTCTGACAGGTCAGACAGGCCGCCACATATTCAACTATCTCCATCTTCATACCAGACCACCAGAAAGTCTTCTTAAGGTTATGGTACATCTTAGTCATACCTGGATGTATGCTAAGTCTGCTCTTGTGGCCTTCCTCCAACACAGCTCTCCTCAGCTCAACATCCTGAGGTAGGCAAATTCTGCCCTTGAACCTCAAGATTCCATCTTCACCCAGCTCAAAACCAACAGCCTTCTCGGTACCCAGCAACCCAAGAAGTTTCACCAGCTCAACATCTTGCAACTGCTTCTGTCCAACCTGCCTCAAGAACTCATTAGTTATGGTAAGCATCCCACAACTAATGTGATCCTGAGCTAACTCCACACAGAGATTCAAATCTCTGAACTCTTCAACCAGCTCCAGCTCTTTTACCATCATACTAGACATGTGGATGGATTTCCTACTCAGCGCATCCGCCACAACATTGGCCTTACCAGGGTGATACATCAACTAGAAGTCATAATCCTTCAGAAACTCCATCCACCGCCTCTGCCTCATGTTCAGCTCCTTCTGATCAAACAAGTACTTCAGACTCTTGTGATCACTGAAGACGCTGAACCGAGCACCATACAAATAATGCCTCCATATTTTCAAGGCAAACACAATAGCTGCTAACTTCAAGTCATGAGTGGGATAATTCCTCTCATGATTCTTCAGTTGCCTTGAAGCATATGCCACCACTTTCCTGTTTTGCATCAGCACGCACCCAAGACCCTGATGAGAAGCATAGCAGTACACATCAAAGGGCTCACTAGAATCCGGTAATACCAGCACAGGGAAAGTAGTCAACCTCCTCCTCAGCTCATCAAAACTCCGCTCACAAGCATCTGTCCAAATGAACGGCTGCTCCTTCCTCGTCAACTGGGTTAAAGGCACCACTATCTTGGAGAATCCCTCAATGAACCTCCTATAGTAACCCGCCAAATCCACAAAACTTCGAATATCAGTGACAGTTCTTGGACGCTCCCACTGCAACACCGACTCCACCTTAGCCAGATAAACATCAATCCCCTCAGCTGAGATCACATGCCCCAAGAACTTCACCTCATCCAACTAGAACTCACATTTTGAAAGCTTAGCAATCTATTTTAAATTTATTAGTTTGATGTTTAATGATGTTTAATGTAACATCCTGGAAAAAAAAAATAGTCCAGAACGAGCCGTTCTAGACTACGAGAATGGGCCATTTCGATTTAAGAACGGGTTGTTCCAAATTAAGAAATTTGCCCATTTTTATTGTTCCAGAACGGGCCGTTCATAAAAAGTGAAACGGGCCGTTCCGGAAAAAGAAAAATGCCTAAAAAATTTTAGTTGGAACGGGCCGTTCCAGTGGAAAAATTTGCGCATATCTGAAGGTTCCAGAACGAGCCGTTCTGCTTTGAGTATGTTCTGCTTTGCGCATATCTGAAGGTTCCGGGTAGGTGAGCGAAAAAGCCTATAAAAAGGCCCCTCATTTCCCTCAAATCCTCACACCTTCCCTCTCTCTCTCTTCCTTCTCTCTACTGCTTGTTTTAGGAGCCTAGGGGAGAAAGTTATGCTCTAGCCTCAGCTCCTGCTTATCCAGGTACGGGGGAAATGGGGATTATTTATATGTAGAGTTACATGAGGGAATTGGGTAGAGGAAGAATCCCTTAGGATTATGATTAATTCTATAATTATTTTATTTGGAGAATTATTAGTTCCATTAAAATTATATCTGTTGAGGTTTATGAAAATGCTAAATTGTAGGAATGATGATCTGGGAGAAAGAACAAAATTGTAGGAAAATGCTGTGAGTTAGATGTTGGAATAATTAGGGGTTCTACTGTTTATATTAAATTGATTATTCTATTGATTATTATATTAATTTATGATTGTTATTGCTATATTACTTGTTAAGAATGGATGATCTTGATGTGAATTGCTTGATGGGTGTGTAAACCCTTATCTTGTTGGGCTTATCTGTTGTGTATGTGATGAGGAATTGTGTACGTGATATGAATTTGAGTTATGAAATGAGATGTGTGGTATGTGAATGAGATGTGATTGTGGTACTGATGACCAGGGGTGAGCACGACCCTAGGCTGAAGGGTAGCGTGACCTTGACATAGTGAGATTTGTGATTATAATGTGATTGTGGTACTGATGACCAAGCGTGAGCACAACCCTAAGTTGTTAAAAAGGGGTAGCGTGACCTTGGTACAGTATTATGTCAGGGGTGAGCACGACCCTAGGCTACTAAAAAGGGTAGCGTGACCTTGGCACAGTGTTATGTCAGGGGTGAGCACGGCCCTAGGCTGGAAAAAGGGTAGCGTGACCTTGACATAGTGTGATTAGTGTGAATTATGAATGTGAAGTTGATAATGTTAATTGTAAGATTTATGTTGATTGTGATGGATTGATGTAATTGTGAATTGAAGATGTGAAGATGATGAATGATTGATAAATTATGATATATAAATATTTTATTAAGTAATGAGTTATGATGAGATTACATTGTGGTGTGTTTGTATGTGCTTTGCATATAGATGTTTTCTTCTCACCGTATAAATTGTGGATATTTTAGGTGAAGAAGATCCAACTGCAAGTGGCATCTAGAATGCCAACAGTTATATTATGGGGAAATGCTCTGATATTGTGACATCGGGGCAGAGGAATTCTAGGACAAAATATCTATATGGATTTGGTATTGTAATATTAATTTGAAAACAATTTGTAAACTCTTAAGCTTTACTTTCCAAGTTTTATTTTTAATCATTTTGGATATTGAAGAACAATTGTGAAGATTTTTATGTGAACCCTTTTACCATCGTTGAAAGAAAAATTTATTCATTAATTTTATTATTATATTTATGTGTTGGGGTAGTAAGGGTGTATCATTTAGTGGTATCAGAGCAGATCGATCTAATCGACCGTGAGTTATGAGTCTACTGTGCTTGTGTGATAGTTGAATGATTGAAATGAATTAGTTGTGAAATTTATGCTAGCATGATGATTGATTATGTCTGTTGTTTATTTGATTGTGTGTACTCTTTTCTTAGATTATGGCTGGTAGAAATGATCGTGCGATTGCTGATGCTCTTCAAGCATTAGCACAAGCTGTGAGTAACAATAGGGTTGAAGTTGCTCCTAACTGGTTGGAGCAATTTCAACGAAATAGTCCACCTACTTTCAAAGGAGGATATGACTCAGATGTTGCGATTAATTGGCTAATGGAGATCTAGAAGATTTTCAATGCCATGGAGTGTCCTTTCACTCAGAGGGTGAGGTTGGCTACCTTCATGTTAACTGCTGATGCCCATTTTTGGTGGGAGGGAGCACTTCAAAGGGTGATTGATGGAGGAATGCAATTGAATTGGGACAACTTCAAGAGGGTCTTCCTTGAGAAGTATTTCCCGGATGATGTGAGGAGTCAGAAGGAAGTTGAATTTCTTGAGCTGAAGCAAGGGAATGATACAGTGGCAGAGTATGCTGCAAAATTTGATGCTTTGGTTCACTATTGTACTCATTACCATGGTGAGGGTGGTGAAAGGGCTAAGTGTATTAAGTTCGTGAATGGCCTTCATCCTGAGATAAAGACAGCCATCAATTATCAAGAGATTTATCACTACCCGACGCTTGTCAACAAGAGTAGAATCTACGATCGTGACAACCATGCATGTGCTATATTTTACAAGGGAGTTGGAGATCCTATGCGTGCTACAGGTTCTAGTGCTTCGGGCAAGAGTAAACCTTACACCAAGTCTACTGGGGATTCAAGTTTTAAGGTGAATAATCAAGATTCTGTGCAACCAAAGAGTTAATCTCCAATGGCTAGCCAAATATCTAGAAGGGGGAGTGAGGGTTCTATTCCACATGATAATTGCTTCAACTGTGGGAAGCCAGGTCATAAGGCATATGAGTGTTGGGTACCAAGAGTGATAACATGTTACAACTGTCACGATAAGGGACACAAAGCTTGGGAGTGCCCCAAGAATAAGAAAAGAACAACAGAGGTTGGAGGGAACGCTAGCAAATCTAGAGCCTCAGGAAGAGTATTTGCCTTGAGTGGTGCTGAAGCTAATCAATTCGAAGGTTTAATCCAGGGTATGTGTTTCATCAATGGAACCCCTCTAATCGTTTTATATGACTCTGGTGCGACTCACTCTTTTATATCACATACGTGTGTGTCTAAATTACCTGTTTCTCCCTTGTCTTTTGAACTAATAGTAGAGACACCTACTAGTGGTTCAGTGATCACTTCTGATGTCTGTCCAAAGTGTCCTTTGACTATTGATGGTAGAGAATTCATGGTTGACTTAATTTGTTTGCCTCTAAGTCAGCTAGTGAGATTAGGAGCTTCCTTGGATTGGCTGGATACTATAGAAAATTCATAGAGGGATTCTCCAAGTTAGCATTGCCCTTGACAAGTTTGACTAGGAAAGAATTTGTGTTTGTATGGGATAGTAAATGCAAGGATAGTTTCCGGGCCCTTGAGGAAAAGTTGACTAGTACACCTGTTTTAGTATTGTCTGACCTTAGTAAGACTTTTGTGATTTATTGTGATGCTTCTAAAATAGGTTTGAGTGGAATGTTAATGCAAGAAGGAAAGGTAGTGGCTTGTGATTCTAGGCAATTGAAAACTCATCATAGGAATTACCTTACTTATGATTTTAAGTTAACGGTTGACACTACCTATATAATTCTAAGCTTGAGGTATTTATTGATCGTTAGAGCCTTAATTATTTGTTGACTGAAGGAGTTAAATTATGAGACAAAAGAGATAGTTTAAATTTCTAGAGGACTAATATTTCAAACTTAGTTGTTAATTGAGTAAAGCCATTGTGGTAACCGATGTTTTGAGTAGGAAACCTTTATATTTATCTTCCTTTATGATTAGAGAGATGGATCTTTGGACTCAAATTAGGGATTTGAGTTTGACTTGTGACATTACTCCTAGTAGTGTGAAACTAAGTATGACTTGAGTAACGAATGGATTGTTGAAGGAAATTGGAGAAGTATAATTAGTTGATTCATTTTAGTGACAAGATATAAGGCTATAGGATAAGGTGATGAATAAAAGTATGACTTGGGTGTAGATGGAGTGGTGAAATTAGAGATCTGATATGAATACCGAGTGTACTTACGGTTAGGTGCTTGATCTTTAGAAATGATTATAGAAGTAAAACTAATATTGTGGCAAATCTTGATTATGATGACCTCTGATATATCATTTTTGATAATTTAAGGGTTGGATTTGATTGAAGAATTTAAAGACTTATGCTTGGTGTGTGAGATTATCCTTAGGAGCATTGAATTGATTATGTTGAAAGTGACTAGTGAATTAATGGATGAGATTAGAGAAGCCTAGGAGTCAGATCCTTTCTTAGGGAACCAAGTGGAGAAGATTGGTAGAAGTATGGATAACCATTTATGAGTAGAAATAGACGTTGTTTTGAGGTGCAAGAACAAACTTGGGTGCTTAGTAACCTTGAATTAAGAAAGATGACTTTAGAGAAAGGACATAAGAGTACTCTTGACATTTATTTAGGAGCTACTAGGATGTATCAGAGTGGCGCAGCGCAAGTGTAGTGACCTAAGCTGAAAAGAGGAGTAGAGAAATTGTATACTCGTGTTAGTATTCTAGAAGTCTTTAGGGATTTTGTAGCACTTAGACGTCCCATTTTGGAAGTGAGATGGTTAGTGGATGGACCTAAATTATAGGTTTGTATGAGATGCTTAAGAGATTGATTTTATTTGGGTTATAGTGGATAGACTCGCCAACTTTATTTGTTTTACCCTTGTTAATAATTTACATTCCTTGGTGAATTGGTAGAGTTGTACATCAGTACGTATGGTGATAAGGTTGCATGATAATTAGAAGTAAGAAGCGAGGAGTCTACCATTGTAAAATTTCGGGGGTGAAATTTCATAAAGGAGGGGAGAATTGTAACATCCTGGAAAAAAAAAATAGCCCATAACGGGCCGTTCCAAAGTTGGAACGGGCCATTCCAGACTACGAGAACGAGCCATTTTGATTTAAGAACGGGTCGTTCCAAATTAAGAAATTTTCCCATTTTTATTGTTCTAGAACGGGCCGTTCCCAAAAGTGAAACAGGCCATTCCGGAAAAAGAAAAATGCCTAAAAAATTTTAGTTGGAACGAGCCGTTCTAGTGGAAGAATTTGCTCATATTTGAAGGTTCCGGAACGGGCCGTTCTGCTTTGAGTACGGGCCGTTCCGGGTAGGTGAGCAAAAAAGCCTATAAAAAGGCCCCTCATTTCCCTCATGTGATTGTGGTACTGATGACCAAGGGTGAGCACGGCCCTAAGTTGTTAAAATGGGGTAGCGTGACCTTGGTACAGTGTTATGTCAGGGGTGAGCACGGCCCTAGGCTACTAAAAAGGGTAGCGTGACCTTGGCACAGTGTTATGTCAGGGGTGAGCACGGCCCTAGGCTGGAAAAAGGGTAGCGTGACCTTGACATAGTGTGATTAGTGTGAATTATGAATGTGAAGTTGATAATGTTAATTGTAAGATTTATGTTGATTGTGATGGATTGATGTAATTGTGAATTGAAGATGTGAAGATGATGAATGATTGATAAATTATGATATATAAATATTTTATTAAGTAATGAGTTATGATGAGATTACATTGTGGTGTGTTTGTATGTGCTTTGCATATAGATGTTTTCTTCTCACCGTATAAATTGTGGATATTTTAGGTGAAGAAGATCCAACTGCAAGTGGCATCTAGAATGCCAACAGTTATATTATGGGGAAATGTTATGATATTGTGACATCGGGGCAGAGGAATTCTAGGACAAAATATCTATATGGATTTGGTATTGTAATATTAATTTGAAAACAATTTGTAAACTCTTAAGCTTTACTTTCCAAGTTTTATTTTTAATCATTTTGGATATTGAAGAACAATTGTGAAGATTTTTATGTGAACCCTTTTACCATCGTTGAAAAGAAAAATTTATTCATTAATTTTATTATTATAATTTATGTGTTGGGGTAGTAAGGGTGTCACATTTAATGATGTTTGATATTATTGTGATAAAAATTGATATTCTTTCATATTTATATATATATTGTTAAATAAGTACTAAATTGATAAGGTAGCTCAGATGGTTGGAGAAGGAGTGTTAAGGTTAGAATGAGTAGAAGGTAAGGGGTTCAAATCTTACAACTGCCAGTTATCTGAAAATTAATATTTAATACTTGTAGATTAGAAAAAAAAAGTGAAAGTAATATATAATGTCTAATTAATAAATCTGGAATAATTTAATTATTTTTTATTTAAAAATTCGTAAAAATAAAAAATTAAGATTTTGTGACGGATTTTAAATCCCTCACAATTTGTGCCGGATTTTGAATCCCTCACAGTTTGTGACGAATGAGTTCCCTCACAAATTGCGACGACTTCTTAGGCAGTCACAAATTGCGATAGAATTTTACTCAAGTATTAACATTTATTTAAGTAATTTGTGATGGAAAATTTATTAGTTAGTGACGGCATATTTTCGTCACTAATTGTGACAGACTGAATTTTTCCGTCATTAAATATTTTGTGACGCCATTTTTTGTGACGACCCAAAATCCGTCACAAATTCCGTCACTAATAATTTTGTGACGGATTTTCTTTAATTTTGTGACGGATTATTTCTGTCTCTAATTTTCATTTTTCTAGTAGTAATTTTTTTGTCGGTAATTACCCATGAATTTTCCTGTCGATAATTACCCACGGATAAATTTGTCAGTAATTAGCCACAGAAACATCTGTGCGTAATTATCTAATTTAATTTTTATTTACCATAATTACTTATGAATTAATTTTATTATTTTTAAAATAAATTATTAATAAAAAATAATTACCCACAGGTACATCCGTTGGTAATAACGTCGGTAATTCCGTGGGTATTGTTGACAATATTTTAAAAAAAATTATTTTAAAATTGTATTAAATAATAGTCTTGTTTTATCTAAACAATATAGTTCAAAAATGGTAAAATTATTATAAATGTTAAGAAATTATCTTTTAATTTTAGACTATCATGCATCAATATCATTTCACTAATTATATACTTCTCATTTTAAATAAAATTAACTATATAATATTAAAATATATTGATAGTAAATTATTATTTTATACTATCATTTAATTATAAACTTTATATATATAATAGTTGGTATGGTAAATTAATTAGCATGAGAAAATTAGTTAAGTATTTAAGAATTTAATTTGTTAGTTTTTTATCATTAAATGTTTAAAGTTACCGACAGATTTTTTTGCATTTTCTACAAGCAACGTTTTAGATAGATAATCCGTGGGAAATATATATCTGAAACATCATAATTTTTTCACGGAAAAAATCCGTGGGTAATATCCATATGAAATTTCAGATGGAAAAAATTCGTGGTAATATCCGTCTGAATCGTTTATGTTTCAGACAGAGACATATCTGTCAGAAAAATCCGTCAATAATGTCATTTTTCAGACGGATATTTATCCATGGAAAAAAGTCCATCGCTAATGAGTGTTTTTTTTGTAGTGACTTCTACATTCAAAAATTATTAAAAATAAATATTGACATTATGTACAAAAATAAACATTACGTAAAATTAGTTTTTAAGAGTGAAATTGAGATGAATGTAGATAAAGATAAGAATTTATTATTGAAGCCAAAAATTCATTACAAAATAAGAATCTACCAATGAAACAAAAATGATATTAAAATGAATACAGGTCACTATTCAAATGGATATTTGGTAATTTTCTTTTTTGGTGTTAGGTTATTGAATTGTTTTTTCTTTGGTTTGATTTCTTTAAACTTTGAATTAGAATTGGCTCTCCATTTGAGGAATTGTCAACAATTTGTATAGATGTCTTTCTCTATGAATGAGCCTTTTTTATTTGATGATGATTCATCTTTTGACTTTTTGGGTAGTTGTTTGTTTATACTTACAATGAGTTCTTGATCCGAGGAAGAAATTGGTTGTGATTTAGGCTCCTTGTTTGAATATAAAAATAATAATTAGTGAATAATAATATTGAGATTCTTTAAGATAAGTTTTAAAGTATATAAGAATTTTTTTAAAAATTTTAGTATTAAAAGAAAGGGACATGAAAGATTCATATATTCAACAAAATAAATATTAGGAGACCAAATAATGGAGAATAATATTATAGTACAAAAGTCCACCTCTATATTTTAATTTTTAAGACTATTAATTAATTAAATAAATAAAATTATTTATAAATGGATGATATTAATAAATAATCAATTATTTAATATAAAATAATAAAATGTTTTTTAAGCATAATCTACTTGAAATTTTAATTTTCAGTTTCAATTAAAAATTTTGCATGTTAAATTACTAATTAACA